AGCAGCTCATTCTAGTTACCTTGATTCACAAGCTGTCTTCATAAACGGTGTCAGTGCAACAGGCACACATAAAAGCTATTTAGTGCTAAAGATTAGACTAATATGACACTAAGATGTATAACAATATAAGTATTTCCCCAAAATAAAGCACAAACCTCTACACCACCCAGAAATTTTGTTAATATAACCACAAATTCAGCTCAGGGTACAATTTAAGAAAAAAAATATTATTGACCATTTTGAAAATAGACTCAAAATTTTGACATAAAAGTCAAAATGTGGAGATTACACTTGTTCTTTCAAGACAAACTGCCACAGTTATTAGTGAAATCGTATTTCAGAATCGGTTTTAATAAGGAAATAATTTCTCTTTCAGCACATAAACACAGTGTGGTGATAAATTAAAAAGATTGTGCACGAAGATTCACCTGGTCAGATGGATAAACCACACAAACTTGGAAGAGTGGATTGTACAAAATGAAATGGATGGTAAAGGACAGATGAAAGGCTTTCAGTGGTCACAGCCTCGTGCTATAAAGAGGATGCTCTAGATTAAATATGAATCCTGACTTTATGGAAATCTATGAGAAAATGACCACTTGAATAAGATAAGATAAGATAAGATAACCTTTGTTAGTCCCACACGTGGGAAATTTGTTTTGTCACAGCAGGAAGTGGACAGTGCAAAAGTTATGAGGCAAAAATTAGAATACAATAAGAATAAATACAGTACACAACTGTACAGAATAGAATAAAATAAAATACTATATACAGTAGAATAAAATAAAATAAATATACAATAAGATAAAAATAGAATACAAATACAAATACTATATACAACTGAGTAAAAATACAACGATGACAGAAAGGATTATTGCACTTAGTATAGTGACCTAGTGACCTAGTATAGTGACTTAGAATAGTGACCACGGTAAGGAACCTTATTGTTGATGTGTCTCAATTACTAGTTTAAAGTCTCCTTCAGTACAATATAATGTTTGTTTTTTATATTTTGTCTGTCATGTTAGGTCTCATAGTATTCTCTACTCAAACTCCAGAAAGATTTAAATGTTACCTGTGGGTTGACTCTTCAAATGTGTGTGTGTGTGTTTATTTACCCACAAATATTTACTGTTGGTTCGGCAGTTTGTAAATATTTAATCTAAAGTCTGTGTTCTCCAAAGGCAGATGTTTTTACCATTGCTATCTTTGCCCTGTTTGTTTCCCCTTGTTTCACCCCATCTCCTGTCACTTCTCGTACGCAGTGTCCTTGGATTCCTCCCAGTTGCCTTTATATGTTTCCCATTCTCAGAATCAGCTGTTTGTGAACAGGCCTGACCTCTTTCACGAGCTGTTTCCTGCAGTGAAAATAACAAAATATAACTGTTTCTTTTACATGTTTAACCCTGGAGAACCCATGGGGTCAGAGCCGACCCCACTGGTTTACTAGGGAAACCATGGGGTCAAATTTGACCCCATGGGTTCTCCAGGGTTAAGTATGCATTACAAAGTGTTATCTTCTTTACTACTTTTAATTAGCATAGCATAAAATCCAAGGTAAGGTCCAAAGATAGTATTTTTCTAACTAATTTGGCCATCAAAAACTATTCTATACAGGCGAAACAGTTTAGAGGCTGATTTGGTTTGTTTTATCAGACTGTATATAAAAGATGGACATGGATTTCAGGTCTGAAACATGAAACCACTGAAAATGTCCTAAATCTGCATTTTTTTGTTTTTGTCCTCTGCATGTAGGTGGAGGGTTTACATTTTTCCTACACGTTTCCTGTAGCTTCTCTCTGACAAGCAGAAGCTGAATTTCTTGCTCATAGGGGGTCATATGATCGTTGGGTTTTTCTCTGTATCTATTATTGTACGATCTACTGCACAATATAAACCGCCTTGAGGTGACTGCTGTTGTGATTTGGCGCTATATAAATAAAATTGAATTGAATTGAATTGTGTTAAATACACTTGAGAAATCAAAGAAAGTGATCCTTAATGTGTAGGTATTGCTATCAAGGGGGAATTAAGGCCTCTAGATTAGATTAGATTAGATTAGATTAGATTAGATTAGATTAGATTAGATTAGATTAGATTAGATTCTATAGAACTTTATTAATCCCTCGGATGGGTTCCTCCAGGAAATTCAGTTTCCAGTTGCAGAATATCGAGAGAAGTTCCATGTTACAGAGTTAGAATATAAATATAAATAGAGGGGGATGTAAATGCATGTAAATGGTCCAGTCATCCACTTTCAGATTTGGCATGTCTGTGAATTGCACAGATGTTTCACCTGTGGTCTTCAGCAGGCTGAGACTATTTTCTCCAGTACCATCATCACAGTGATGTTAGGGAAACAGGTCAATAAATAAACCAGTGCTGTGAAACTCATCCTGGTTTTTACACTGAAAAAGTCACAAGCATCTCAGTTTAGCAACTATCAACTGTTACATCACAGCTGATGAAAGTTGAGTCATTTCTCCTTACTTTTGATTCATAGCACTGTAATATAAACTGGATCACACAATGGTTCATGCGTGATAATAAATTGATACAATACGGTCACTCTACCCTAAATATGTTGTCAGAGACTGGGTGGGTATTAAAAGGTAAATAGGATTATAAATTGTATCAATAATGCAAAATATTGTATCAACTATTGTAACGGAATTCCTTGGAAATGTTAAATACAGAGTTAAAAAGTTTTGTATTTACTAATTAGATTGTGTAAAACGTCATTCTGACTTAACTCTGCTTTAAGTCAGTTTAGTTTTAGGTTGTTTCCAAAGTGGATTTTCTTGTTTCAGTTTAGTTTTTATTGTTTGAAATGTTTTTGTTTTACTTTATTAGTTTATTAGTTTCTGTGTTTATTTTGTTCTTTATCATTTATTATTTATTATTAGTTTTATTATTGGATGAAGAGTTCAGTACAGCCATTACGTCTTGAAAACAGTTGACTGCAGTCTTTTAGCTAAAGTCTCAATGAACACATTTAAAGCCTCATTAGGCAAGTTGTGATTAAATCCTTACCAAACTAACAGATGGTAAAACTAAGAATATTCCCTATATTTATTTTTTTTTTATTTTGCTTTTTTAGTTCTCCAATCTTACAAAATTGTTTCAGTTAATTACATTTTCAGAAATGTCAAAAGTCTAGTCTAGTTCTTATTTTTATTTTAGTTAATTAATATGTTTTTTCACATTACAAGTTTATTCACATTAAAAAAAATCATCATTATGATTACTGGTGGCAATTTTGAAAAGAAAACTTAAATGAAAGACCAATTAACTAGTGCAAATGAAAGAGCCAGTGTGACACGCGCGCGCACACACACACACAGACACACACACCTTTCTCACGCATTCAGCCACTACCTCTGTGCAAATGTAAAAGATACAAATGGCAGTGGAACAATTTTAATTTTTTTATTTTTGTATAAATTGTGTAGGGGAAAAGAGAAAAAAAACATTTTTGTTCCATCCTAGAAAATGTTGCCAAGTCTTCGTTGTTCATGAAAGAGAGGAGATGCGTCAGTGCTCACCACGAATGCTTCCTGGATGCTGGTTCACATTTTGTGTATATGTATGTTTGCTACTGGAGGTCTTAGAGGGAAAGGCGACGTGATGTTTAACTGCACGTGTATGCACAAGAGACTCGGCATCTGATCTGTTGTTGCAAAGAGCTACATTCAAGTGATTGTCTTTTACCTCCTTGCACAGACTAAAGTTACATATATATATATATATATATATATATATATATATATATTATAAATATATATATTTCCATATATATGAACCTATTAACAAAGTGTCTTGAAAATATACCCAGGAATACAAACATCAGTAACAAATAGCAGTCTGTACTTTTTAATGTTTTTCTTTTGTTTTTTTAAGTCATTGTATAATTGACATACTTTGTGTCACCGATGAATGAATCATGGCAGTGTGTTAGTGTGCGCTGGATGAAGATGATTGTAATTAAGTCCACATTCCAGGATGAAAAAGCCTGGGATGATATCCGTGGCCTTGGATTAGCCTACTGCAGGACACCCTGGACAGGAGCTGGGGCTTTGTTCTGAAACTCTTCTGGAGTAGAGACAAGCTTCTGTGAATTTCCGGTCATCCTCTAAAAAAAAAAAGAACCTGCGACCAGTAATTAGCCGAGAACGGTTGCTTTCAACTTTTGTTCCTCGTCTTTTGATTGTAAACATACTTTCAGGAAAGGCCAGGGAGACCGTCTGATGGTACGTACTTCTGTGGGAGGTTGGATTTTTTTTTTCTTTCCTTCACTGTATGTAATTACATGGACATGTAATTTAGGTTAATGCTCATTGTTAAGTGCATTCTCAGGAAGGAGACTGATCGGCTTCCTGATAAGCATTCCTTTCTCCATTCCTTTGCTTTGCTGCTAACCATCCGGATTTTTAGTCTGGGAAGTGTGGCTCTATGTCTCACTGCTCACCGTATTGCTTTTAATCACCTCAGCTTGTCAGCCATACCTACCATATCACTGCATGGTGCTCACACACACACAGACACACTTAACCAAGAGGAAACTCTGGCTTTAGTCCTCAAATGTTAACAGTATTCATCACATTTTTTCTTTAAATTCTGTTTTTTTTTCTTGCTTATTTGCTTTTAACATCCTGCTCTGTTAAATCGCCATGTAAGTTGGAACAATCATATTTCATTTGGAGAATTTCTTTAACTGGCAAAAACCCACGTTTGTGGTTCTGATTGTTTTGTTATAATTCGATTTCTTTTTGATATAAGGAATTAAATGGATTTTTATAGTAGAAATGTACGATGGCCGTGTCTGTCATTTGGAAAGATGGAGAGGAGAAGCAGTCTACTTCATACTTCAGTACATTAGGAAATAGCCTCACTTATCATTAAAGAATGAAGAAATAAAACACAAACATGTAGAAAGCACTTGTTTGGATGTTGCTTAATCTGGAAAGGCTTCTGAATTGTAATGAAAGTCTTTGGTCTTGTTACATAAATCATCATATTTATTAAACAGGAAGTGTTGTCTTTCAGTCAACAGACAATCCCAAGAATAGCTTTTTCTTAAAAAAAAAAAGTATGTTTCTTTTGATTTCAGTACACACAAGAATAGTGTTTTATACAATCTTGAGCCAAATTTAAGTAGTGTTAAGATGTATTGCTCCCTTTGTGCCAATGTCATGCAAGTCTCTAAAGCTGTTAGGAGGAATAATCTGTATTAAAACGGATAAGAAAAAGAAGCTTTAAATGCACTTCATCCTTCATCTGTTAATACATTTAGAGCAGGCTAACCAAACAGCAAGTGTGCCTTTGAAACAGTAGTCCACCTGGAGTCTCCTTCATGCGTCTGTCACCTCCTAACTGTCACGCACGGTGTGACAGGAAGTGTTATCAAGGCACGTAATATTCTGTTTTTAACCACCACTTGGTCAAGGCACAAAACTCTGGGGACTCTCGTGTCAGCTGTTCTGATGTACTAGAGGTAAAAAGGAACTAACATACCTTTAAGCTTTTTTTGTGCCTTCAACTTGCATATTGTTGTCAGGATTATAAGGCTAATGTTATATTACAAGGCGGTAAAAAATACAATCTTTACCAAATGAAAGATGTAAAATAAACAAATTATGGCTGACTGACGAGAAATAACACAAAAAGGCACTTCTTAAGCGGAACATCAAACTTTGGAGTAATTTGGTTTGTCTAGCTTGACAAGAACAACCAGTACAGTGATGGTCTTTGCTCCCAGATACAATCAAAATAAACAATATTAAGTCTGATTGAAGGCGTCTCGAAGACTTGGCGTAACGCTGCGAAACAGTCCACGAATGTCTGTTATAACATCGCACCTCCTCTGTTATTTGCAGGAGGCTTTTGCAGGTGTCTTAAAGGCAGGCGTCCCAGCAGCAGCAGAAGAGTCGGCAATTTATCTTGGCTGCCTCCCAGTTTAAATCCTGCTATGACTGCGTAACCTTCGGATATTAATGGGTTTTAGGAATGTCCACATTAAGATCCACATGCTAGCAGGCACTTGTTAGTGAAAGCACAATTCCTCCTCCAGTCCTCAGATGGCCTCACCTGTGCTCTGGTCATCCTCCCAAAGGTCAGTGCCGACAGAGCAGGGAAAGCCTTCTGCTCGCGGTGACGAAGGAGTAGTAGCGCGTTGTGCTTCTGTAATCATGCCTGCTCATTTAAAGTGGTTGTAAAAGGGCATCCATAAATAAATAAATTACCGGGCTAAAACAAGGGCTTTGTCCTGTCCTCGCTTTTCAGTCTTTGTGATCTGCAGCCTCAGGGTTGAGATGCGCCACTGGGACAAAGGGAAGGGTTACAATAGGGAGGGATAAGTGACGAATAAGTGGTTTAGGGTCTCTTCCAACCGCTCCGGATCAACGCGTCCGCTCGCAGGAAAGGCTGGTTTCGGAGATCTGTGAGTAGGCATGGAGAGGGGGGGTGAGAGACAGGGGGACACACATGTTAGACGACCAAGAGGTCAATCTGGACATTTGCTTCTGTTTACATCTCAATTTCTTAAGAGTGTTTTTAAGCAAGAAGAGCAGAGGATGTACACTCAGTTCTCACTTTATTAGGTACACCTAATTTATATCAGTTGTTCCCTCATTTCTGTAAATGAGGTTAAGCTAAAAAAAGAAAAGCAAATAGGAACACCTTACTGTATAATGCAGTACATGAAAACAGCACCACAAACACTTCCTCTTTTTTACAATGAAGATGAAACTATGAAAAGTTGCCTTTATTGCAGGACTGTTGTTAGTCTGCATTAGTTTGAGCTCCCTAATAAACTGACAACTGAGTGTTTATTGTTATAATTTTCAAATCCAGAAAATCTGGAAACACTTGTGCAGTTAAAACTTTGGGTTAAAGCTGAAATTGTCCATAAGAGCTACAAAATTAGCAAATGTGGCAGGAATGCCACATTCCCATAGCCTTGTATTTCAACTGCTAGAAGTTGTGCTTCAAAACGGAGAAATTCAAGGCTTTGAGACGGTGATTTTGGCAAATCAGTAACACTAAACAATGAGGACGTTACAAAGTAACCACTCTGGTTACGATACAGTGGTCAACAAGCTCTTGAGTTTGCAGATTACCAAACAGGATGGCTGTCACAGAGGAAACAGAAGTGTGGATACAGACTGTGTTCACGTAAGTTTGATTCTGTTTTCTTCTAGAGCCTGTTGACCAAATAGCTGTTGAGCACACCGCAGATGACATTTAGCACAGACAAACATGGCGGACGCTGCCGACTGGTGAGAGGTAAATAAACAATGGACAACATGCAACACGTAACAGGAAGGGGTGAGGATGCCATGGGTTACCGGTCCGTTGCCATGGTAACCCGTCCGTTGCCATGGGTTACCTGTCCGTTGCCATGCGTTTACATGCGTTGTTATGGGTTAACTGTCCGTTGCCATGCGTTTACATGCGTTGTTAAGGGTTAACTGTCCGTTGCCATGGGTTACCGGTCCGTTGCCATGGTAACCGGTCCGTTGCCATGGGTTACCGGTCTGTTGCCATGGTAACTGGTCCGTTGCCATGGTAACCGGTCCGTTGCCATGGTAACCGGTCCGTTGCCATGGGTTACCTGACCGTTGCCATGGGTTAACTGTCCGTTGCCATGCGTTAACTGTCCGTTGCCATGCGTTTACATGTGTTGTTATGGGTTAACTGTCCGTTGCCATGCGTTTACATGCGTTGTTATGGGTTAACTGTCCGTTGCCATGGGTTATCTGTCCGTTGCCATGCTTTAACATGCGTTGTTATGGGTTAACTGTCCGTTGCCATGGGTTACGGTCCGTTGCCATGGTAACCGGTCCGTTGCCATGGGTTACCGGTCCGTTGCCATGGTAACCGGTCCGTTGCCATGGGTTACCTGACAGTTGCCATGGGTTAACTGTCCGTTGCCATGCGTTAACTGTCCGTTGCCATGCGTTTACATGTGTTGTTATGGGTTAACTGTCCGTTGCCATGAGTTTACATGCGTTGTTATGGGTTAACTGTCCATTGCCATGGGTTAACTGTCCGTTGCCATGCGTTAACTGTCCGTTGCCATGCGTTTACATGCGTTGTTATGGGTTAACTGTCCGTTGCCATGGGTTATCTGTCCGTTGCCATGCGTTTACATGCGTTGTTATGGGTTAACTGTCCGTTGCCATGCGTTTACATGCGTTGTTATGGGTTAACTGTCCGTTGCCATGCGTTTACATGCGTTGTTATGGGTTAACTGTCCGTTGCCATGGGTTACTGGTCCGTTGCCATGGTAACCGGTCCGTTGCCATGGGTTACCGGTCCGTTGCCATGGTAACTGGTCCGTTGCCATGGTAACCGGTCCGTTGCCATGGTAACCGGTCCGTTGCCATGGGTTAACTGTCCGTTGCCATGCGTTAACTGTCCGTTGCCATGCGTTTACATGTGTTGTTATGGGTTAACTGTCCGTTGCCATGCGTTTACATGCGTTGTTATGGGTTAACTGTTCGTTGCCATGGGTTAACTGACCGTTGCCATGGGTTAACTGTCCGTTGCCATGCGTTAACTGTCCGTTGCCATGCGTTTACATGCGTTGTTATGGGTTAACTGTCCGTTGCCATGGGTTATCTGTCCGTTGCCATGCGTTTACATGCGTTGTTATGGGTTAACTGTCCGTTGCCATGCGTTTACATGCGTTGTTATGGGTTAACTGTCCGTTGCCATGCGTTTACATGCGTTGTTATGGGTTAACTGTTCGTTGCCATGGGTTAACTGACCGTTGCCATGCGTTAACTGTCCGTTGCCATGCGTTAACTGTCCGTTGCCATGCGTTTACATGCGTTGTTATGGGTTAACTGTCCGTTGCCATGGGTTATCTGTCCGTTGCCATGCGTTTACATGCGTTGTTATGGGTTAACTGTCCGTTGCCATGCGTTTACATGCGTTGTTATGGGTTAACTGTCCGTTGCCATGCGTTTACATGCGTTGTTATGGGTTAACTGTCCGTTGCCATGGGTTACTGGTCCGTTGCCATGGTAACCGGTCCGTTGCCATGGGTTACCGGTCCGTTGCCATAGTAACCGGTCCGTTGCCATGGGTTAACTGTCCGTTGCCATGCGTTAACTGTCCGTTGCCATGCGTTTACATGTGTTGTTATGGGTTAACTGTCCGTTGCCATGCGTTTACATGCGTTGTTATGGGTTAACTGTCCGTTGCCATGGGTTATATGACCGTTGCCATGGGTTAACTGTCCGTTGCCATGCGTTAACTGTCCGTTGCCATGCGTTTACATGCGTTGTTATGGGTTAACTGTCCGTTGCCATGGGTTATCTGTCCGTTGCCATGCGTTTACATGCGTTGTTATGGGTTAACTGTCCGTTGCCATGCGTTTACATGCGTTGTTATGGGTTAACTGTCCGTTGCCATGCGTTGACATGCGTTGTTATGGGTTAACTGTCCATTGCCATGGGTTAACTGTCCGTTGCCATGCGTTAACTGTCCGTTGCCATGCGTTTACATGCGTTGTTATGGGTTAACTGTCCGTTGCCATGGGTTATCTGTCCGTTGCCATGCGTTTACATGCGTTGTTATGGGTTAACTGTCCGTTGCCATGCGTTTACATGCGTTGTTATGGGTTAACTGTCCGTTGCCATGCGTTTACATCCGTTGTTATGGGTTAACTGTCCGTTGCCATGCGTTTACATGCGTTGTTATGGGTTAACTGTCCGTTGCCATGCGTTTACATGCGTTGTTATGGGTTAACTGTCCGTTGCCATGGGTTACTGGTCCGTTGCCATGGTAACCGGTCCGTTGCCATGGTAACCGGTCCGTTGCCATGGTAACCGGTCCGTTGCCATGGGTTAACTGTCCGTTGCCATGCGTTAACTGTCCGTTGCCATGCGTTTACATGTGTTGTTATGGGTTAACTGTCCGTTGCCATGCGTTTACATGCGTTGTTATGGGTTAACTGTCCGTTGCCATGGGTTATATGACCGTTGCCATGGGTTAACTGTCCGTTGCCATGCGTTAACTGTCCGTTGCCATGCGTTTACATGCGTTGTTATGGGTTAACTGGCCGTTGCCATGGGTTAACATGCGTTGTTATGGGTTAACTGTCCGTTGCCATGCGTTTACATGCGTTGTTATGGGTTAACTGTCCGTTGCCATGCGTTTACATGCGTTGTTATGGGTTAACTGTCCGTTGCCATGCGTTTACATGCGTTGTTATGGGTTAACTGTCCATTGCCATGGGTTAACTGTCCGTTGCCATGCGTTAACTGTCCGTTGCCATGCGTTTACATGCGTTGTTATGGGTTAACTGTCCGTTGCCATGGGTTATCTGTCCGTTGCCATGCGTTTACATGCGTTGTTATGGGTTAACTGTCCGTTGCCATGCGTTTACATGCGTTGTTATGGGTTAACTGTCCGTTGCCATGCGTTTACATGCGTTGTTATGGGTTAACTGTCCGTTGTCATGGGTTACTGGTCCGTTGCCATGGTAACCGGTCCGTTGCCATGCGTTAACTGTCCGTTGCCATGCGTTTACATGTGTTGTTATGGGTTAACTGTCCGTTGCCATGCGTTTACATGTGTTGTTATGGGTTAACTGTCCGTTGCCATGCGTTTACATGCGTTGTTATGGGTTAACTGTCCGTTGCCATGGGTTACTGGTCCGTTGCCATGGTAACCGGTCCGTTGCCATGGGTTAACTGTCCGTTGCCATGCGTTAACTGTCCGTTGCCATGCGTTTACATGTGTTGTTATGGGTTAACTGTCCGTTGCCATGCGTTTACATGCGTTGTTATGGGTTAACTGTCCGTTGCCATGGGTTATATGACCGTTGCCATGGGTTAACTGTCCGTTGCCATGCGTTAACTGTCCGTTGCCATGCGTTTACATGCGTTGTTATGGGTTAACTGTCCGTTGCCATGGGTTACCTGACCGTTGCCATGGGTTAACTGTCCGTTGCCATGCGTTAACTGTCCGTTGCCATGCGTTTACATGCGTTGTTATGGGTTAACTGTCCGTTGCCATGGGATGCGTTGTTATGGGTTAACTGTCCGTTGCCATGCGTTTACATGCGTTGTTATGGGTTAACTGTCCGTTGCCATGCGTTTACATGCGTTGTTATGGGTTAACTGTCCGTTGCCATGGGTTACTGGTCCGTTGCCATGGTAACCGGTCCGTTGCCATGGGTTACCGGTCCGTTGCCATGGTAACCGGTCCGTTGCCATGGGTTACCTGACCGTTGCCATGGGTTAACTGTCCGTTGCCATGCGTTTACATGCGTTGTTATGGGTTAACTGTCCGTTGCCATGCGTTTACATGCGTTGTTATGGGTTAACTGTCCGTTGCCATGCGTTTACATGCGTTGTTATGGGTTAACTGTCCGTTGCCATGCGTTTACATGCGTTGTTATGGGTTAACTGTCCGTTGTCATGGGTTACTTGTCCGTTGCCATGGTAACCGGTCCGTTGCCATGGGTTACCGGTCCGTTGCCATGGTAACCGGTCCGTTGCCATGGTAACCGGTCCGTTGCCATGGGTTAACTGTCGTTGCCATGCGTTAACTGTCCGTTGCCATGCGTTTACATGTGTTGTTATGGGTTAACTGTCCGTTGCCATGCGTTTATATGCGTTGTTATGGGTTAACTGTCCGTTGCCATGGGTTATATGACCGTTGCCATGGGTTAACTGTCCGTTGCCATGCGTTAACTGTCCGTTGCCATGCGTTTACATGCGTTGTTATGGGTTAACTGTCCGTTGCCATGCGTTTACATGCGTTGTTATGGGTTAACTGTCCGTTGCCATGCGTTTACATGCGTTGTTATGGGTTAACTGTCCGTTGCCATGCGTTTACATGCGTTGTTATGGGTTAACTGTCCGTTGCCATGCGTTTACATGCGTTGTTATGGGTTAACTGTCCGTTGCCATGGGTTATCTGTCCGTTGCCATGCGTTTACATGCGTTGTTATGGGTTAACTGTCCGTTGCCATGCGTTTACATGCGTTGTTATGGGTTAACTGTCCATTGCCATGGGTTAACTGTCCGTTGCCATGCGTTAACTGTCCGTTGCCATGCGTTTACATGCGTTGTTATGGGTTAACTGTCCGTTGCCATGGGTTATCTGTCCGTTGCCATGCGTTTACATGCGTTGTTATGGGTTAACTGTCCGTTGCCATGCGTTTACATGCGTTGTTATGGGTTAACTGTCCATTGCCATGGGTTAACTGTCCGTTGCCATGCGTTAACTGTCCGTTGCCATGCGTTTACATGCGTTGTTATGGGTTAACTGTCCGTTGCCATGGGTTACCGGTCCGTTGCCATGGTAACCGGTCCGTTGCCATGGTAA